ATGGAAAGGGGGAGAGACACCTGTTAGGGGGCTTATTCCTTCACCCACTCTCTTCCCTGGTCCTTCTCGCATGAACAGAGAGCAACAATACCCGAAGTCCAAAGGTGCAAACAATTTGATGTTTATTGGGGTGAACTTCCAGCAAGCATGATTCCAGTTTCCTTCCGTAGTATCCTCCTTCCCAGCTCTGACACCACAGAGCCTTACACCTGTGTCCCTGTTCCCATTCCTGCCCTTAGCCAAACATGATTCCAATTTCCTTACCCCCATTCCCTGTTCCCATTTCCCCCACCCGCATGCCCACCCCCACCCCCCTACTTCCTGATTGACTGCAGACTATATAATAAAACTTGACTTCTGCTTTGCTATACCTTAACCAATCATGTTCCTGAAATTTAACTAACCAATCCTAACATATTGTAACATGATTATGCACCCAATTATATCCCACCACCTTAATTAGTTTACACCCAGCAAAATTAATTATACAGCAGACAGAAACAATCACAGAACCAGACAGAGATTATACAGACAAACAACAGCAAAGTGGGAACTATAATGACAAAACAATACAGAAGTGAGGATTTCACATCCCAGCTATTGATAAGTGAGTTCTTGCCAGACAGGATGCTATCAAACTAAGTTTCCTTTTACATTTTCTAGGCACTTCCCTTTCTCTGGAGGCGATAGGCATTATCAGGACAGGATTGTGTTCCTAACAGCCCAATAGCACCTTATTTCAATGTGACCGGTCACTTCCCAGCTTATGGCTGCCTCTGCTGCTTAGCCAAAGGCCTTAGCCTAAGAACAGGGCCTCAGACTGTCACAGTAAGAGAAGGCCTTTACATCGGCAGACAGTGATTTTGATTCTCTTTTGTACCTCTATAACTAGCCAAGTGATAAGAATACACCTAAATTCTTAGAGCATAGGCCTTTACAGACAGGCCTGAATATCTATATCCTAACAACACCCCATCGTGTACCTGAGCAAGAAGCTGCTACCCCGGGAGCAACACTACGCGGCCATCGAGAAGGAAGTGCCTGGCCGTGGTGTGGGCCCTCAAGAAACTAGAGCCCTATCTCTTCGGGCGACACTTCACCGTGTACACCGACCACTCTCCCCTGACCTGGCTGCATCAGATGAAAGGAGACAACACCAAACTCCTGAGATGGAGCCTGCTCCTGCAGGATTACGACATGGACGTGGTCCACGTGAAGGGAAGTGCCAACCTGATAGCGGACGCGCTGTCCCGGAGAGGGGCCCCCGAACTTCCCCAGGTCACTGGTCAGAGTGACCCCGCTCAGTTCAGTCTCGAAGGGGGGGGAGATGGTGTGACAAAGTGGGACTGTTCTTAATGTTTCCTCTGAATAGTGTGGGGGTGCCTCAGTTTCCCCTAGGCAGTTCTTGAGTGTCTGGGTGGTGGGGTAAGGGTGGATGATCACTGCAGAGCCCTAGAGGGCAGGTGTGTGCAGGAGTCTGGACACAGAGAATGGGCGACACCCTGTTTCCTGGCCACTGATGGCCTGGGCCCTTCCCCCCTGCAAGGTGAGAGCTGAAGGGTGGTAGAACAAAGGAATCCGGTGACCTCCTGGCCCAGGAAAGGGACAAAGCCCAGAGGAGGGGGGGCTGGAGGGAGAGGCAGTTTGGGGCTAGCTGGGACATGGAGTGAAGTGCAGACATGGTTGTCTGGCTCACTGCCCCCCAAAATGGACCCAGCTGATGGGTCCTGTTCTCTGCACCTGCAAGCTCTGTTTTAGACCATGTTCCTGTTGTCTAATAAACCTTCTGTTTTACTGGCTGGCTGAGAGTCCCGTCTGACTGCGAAGTTGGGGGGCAGGACCCTCTGGCTTCCCCAGGAGCCCCGCCTGAACGGACTCGCTGGGGGAAGTGCACGGAGGGGCAGAGGAGGCTGAATGCTCCGAGGTCAGACCCAGGAAGGTGGAGCCGGGTGAGCTGTGTGTCCTGAAGACAGGCTGCTCAGAGAGGAGACTTCCCCAGAGTCCTGCCTGGCTTCATGGGGAGCAGTTCCAGAGCATCACCCGGGGACGCCCTGACAGATGGGACGCAGCAGGGAGGGGGGAGTGTCGACCTGGGAATGTGGCAGGGGAGTTTCAATGGGAGACCTGAGAGCCTGTAACCTGAGCCAGGAGGGGGAGGGAGAGGTGACACCTCTGCCCGGGAATGTGGACAAAGGCTGCAGGAGAGAGCCTGCTAAGGGGGGTTTAGTTTCAGTTTGGGGCTGGGTGGTGGAACGCAGGGAACCCCAGTAAGCTCCCTGCTCCCCCTGAAGGACTTGACTGAGGGGTCCTGGTTGTACCCACAAGCTCTGTTTGAGACTGTGTCCCTGTTGTCCAATAAACCTTCCGTTCTACTGGCTGGCTGAGAGTCTCAGTGAATCCCAGGAAGAGGGGTGCAGGGCCTGGACTCCCCCACGCTCCGTGACACACCTTCAACTTCCCCTGCAGCCCCATCCTTTGCTAGGAGGGCTGTAAAAATATGTGTCAACAGTGATGGCTGTTGGTGTGTGGAGATTCCTGCCGCTTGCACGGATCAGCACTGTCTCATTGTTTGCTTGTACTCCCCTGCCTCTCTGCGTCCATCTAGATTGGAAGCTCCTTGGGGTAGGAACCATCTTTATGTTCTGTGTTTGCCTGGCACCGTAGAGTTCTGGCCCGTGAGCGGGGCTTCTAGGACTTGGACACAGAGACGGGATACCGGGTTTATGGCCCCTTGGTCTGATTGCATCTAGACATTCCCATGCCCAAGGGGACAGTCAGATAAATGGTAAGGCAGCAAATTTCAAACCGAATGCCTTCTTCACGCAAGTAGCCTGCGAAACTCACCGCCACAGGACATTGTCAAAGCTGAGACCGCAGGCAAGATTCAAAGAGTCACTGATGAGGACAGCAAGGATATCCAGTGTTGGAATAATTAATACTAATTTAGCCGCTGCCTTCTCAGCTGCCAGCCTGGGGATTGAACCGGGGACTTCCAAAGCAGGAAGGATGAGGTGCTGGAGCTTGAAGGCTCTCTAGCTGGGGGCAGTGAGGGGGAGTCATCACATACGCTCAGCAGTGGGTTGCACTAAAAGAGCTTTGGGTTGGAGGGGGAGGTAACAGGGCCTGCAGAAGTGCATTGAATAGATACTTCATGGCTTACCCAGTTGAACTGTTGGGAAGTCGAATGAGACCTTCCTGTGGGTGGGGGGGGTGGATTACCCCATCTCTGCCATTTTGGGGTTCTGACACAGTCTGTGGTGCTAGCCGCAGTCGGGGACAGACAAGTGGCTCTGACAGATGTGGCAACTTTCTGCAACATCCTTGAGATACCTCACTGAATTCAGTGTCTCTGGGGTGCCTTGTACTCCATGCATAGGTTCTGTATTGCAGGGGGCCGGGCGGCACTTTGTTTGTAATGAAAGAGGTGCCAGGGCTCAAGCAATTGTTTTACACTCATAACTGATGTGGCAAGCTCAGAGGTGCCGGGGCTACAACCCGCCAGGGCTCTGAACCGCCAGGCCCAGAGGCGCCGGGGCTATGTGACGAACTTGGACTGTTCTTAATGTTTCCTCTGAATAGTGTGGGGGTGCCTCAGTTTCCACTATGCAGTTCTTAAGTATCTAGGTGGTGGAATAAGGGTGTATGATCATTGCAGAGCCCTAGAGGGCAGGTGTGTGCAGGAGTCTGGACACAGAGAATGGCCGACACCCTGTTTCCTGACAACTGATGACCTGGGCCCTTCCCCCCTGCAAGGTGAGAGCTAAAGGGTTGGAGAACAAAGGAATCCGGTGACCTCCTGGCCTGGGAAAGGGACAAAGCCCAGAGGAGATGGGGCTGGAGAGAGTTTCAGTTTGGGTTTGGCTGGGGACATGGAGTGAAGGGCAGTCGTGGTTGTCTGGTTCACTGCCCCCCAGAATGGACCCAGCTGAGGGGTCCTGTTCTCTGCACCTACAAGCTCTGTGTTAGACCATGTCCCTGTCGTCTAATAAATCTTCTGGTTTACTGGCTGGCTGGGAGTCCCGTCTGACTGCGAAGTTGGGGTGCAGGACCCTCTGGCTTCCCCAGGACCCCGCCTGGGCGGACTCGCTGAGGGAAGTGCACGGAGGGGCAGAGGATGCTGAATGCTCCGAGGTCAGACCCAGGAAGGTGGAAGCTGTGTGAGCTGTGTGTCCTGAAGACAGGCTGCTCACAGAAAGGCGACTTCCCCAGAGTCCTGCCTGGCTTCGTAGGGAGCAGTTCCAGAGCATCGCCTGGGGACTCCATGACAACTGGTGGCAGAGGTGGGATGTACTGCACCCCGCGGATGGCACTTCCTGCAGTAAGTGACAGGGGAGCAGTAAAACGAAGGGGGATTGACAAGGACCAGGCGTGCTGAAGGCTCAGAGAAGAGTGGTTTCAGGGGGCGGTTAACCCCTGGGAGTGTGTGACCAGTGAGAAGGACTGTGCAGTAATGGGGTCCCTCTCTCAGGGGCGGAGGAGCCTGCGGCTTGGCCCTGGGAGAGAGAACGACTTTAGTAGTAACAGGGTTCCTTTGGGGATTGCAGCGAGCGGTCCAAGGGACAGAGGAGTCTGCCTCTCAACCCTGGCAAAGAGGTGGTGACCTCGAGAAGGGCTGGCACACTAGGGGTTCTCCCTGGAAACCGTGGGGAGCTGAGAGCACACAGGCCTGTGAGTCCACAACAACTTGGGAAGAGCGGAGTGATGGCCTGTCACCGTCTCCTTAAGAAGGACATTGTAACCCTGTGCAGAAAGAGAGGGTTAAGCATTGGAAAGTTCACCAAAGCACAGTTCATCGTGCAGCTGGAGGAGGATGACCGCTCTAAGAAGCAGATTCCTGCCCCCAAATGGGGCTATAGCAGGATCTGGGAGCAGCTGGAGTGGGAGCCAAGACTCCTGTCCCCGACCAGACGGAGGTCTTCACGATCGGGTTCCCCATCTGGAGATTGGAGACGGATGGGATTGGAGCTGAGTCCGAGAGAGCGAGAGGACCGTGAGAGCCAGCGAGAGCCCAAGAAAGAGCTGCAGAAGCAGCAGCAGCATGAACTGGCGGTGGGGGAGCGGAGAGGCCTAGGGGACCTCCCAGGGGTGAGTGGGGATAGACCCTGGGGGGCCAGTTCCGCAGGGAACCTCGAGATTAAATTGCTGCCCCTGGTTAAGGAGGGGGGGATGTGGATGCCCACCTCACTGCCTTTGAGCAGGCTGGCGATCTGAACTAGGGGGACCCTGTGGAACAGTCCCGGTGTCTAGCTCCCTTGCTGGGTCCCAAGGCCATAGACTCCGTCAGCCAGATGGGTGGGGAGGTGGACGGGCTCCCACTCCTGGTCCCAACCGATATGTCTGTGTGGAGTTTCCTGGCCGCAGGCCCCTCGGCCCTCCAGTGGGAGCGGAAGGTGATGGTCAATGGGGAGACATTCCTGGGATGGCGAGATCCTGGGACAGAGAGAACTGTTGTCAGGCCCGGGTGGTGCAGCCTCAGATGCTGAGGGGCTGTGTGAGATGGGTGAGGGTCCCAGGGACGAAGCCCCTCACCCTGCCTATGGCCCAGATCCCTGTGCAGACCCAGGAGGTGTGGGGCTGGCTGGTCGTTGGGGTTCTCCAGGATACCAGCTGCGAGACCCTGCTGTGGGGTGACTGTGTCTCTTTGGGACAGGATCCAGGCCCTGCTCCTGTAATGGCCGAGGGTTTGAATTTGAATCCAGGGAACCAATCGGTGGAGAGGGAAATGGTCAGTGAAAATGCAGATGACCTGGCTGGCGGGGGGAGGAGCGGCTAGGATCAGGATACCTGCCTGCCTGTAAGCAGACCCCTGGGGCTGGGTGGGACAGAGAGATGCTCCCCGCCCCCTTGCACACCGGAGATGGGGGCTCACGCTGGCTCTGATGCAGTGAGGAAAGCAGGGAGCTCGCTGCCTACCCCCTCTGGGACAGCAAGGGCAGCGCTGAGCACAGGGGAAGGGGAGACCCCAGCTGAGTGGGGGGAGACACAGGCAGGGCAGGGGATCTGTGGGGAGTGGCAAGGTGCTTGGTAAGGAAAGTTTGGATGAGCCTAGGCAGCCTTGTGAGCTGACGGCTGTGTCTAGTCAGCAGGGTGGGAAGGCGAGGAGGGTGGAAGATGAGTGTCCCTGGACCTTACCTGTTAGCTGGGTGGAGAAGTGTGACAGGGAAGGAAACGTGCGTGTGTCTATCAGGGGTATGGACTTGCCTATGGAGGGAGCTACCCCGGTCTCCAAGCAGTTGTCTGTGACCAGCCTTGTGTGCTGGGACAAGGGGAATGAGATCCCAAGCTGGGTGTCTGGGAAAGGAGAAAGTGTGTCCGGCTCTTCTTTGTCTGTGGAGCAGACTGAAGGGGCCTTTCAGCCTGTGATGGTTGAGAATAGTGCAGTTGTCTCAGCCCTGGTCTACACTAGGACTTTAGGTCGAATTTAGCAGCGTTAAATCGATGTAAACCTGCACCCGTCCACACGATGAAGCCCTTTTTTTCGACTTAAAGGGCTCTTAAAATCGATTTCCTTACTCCACCCCGACAAGTGGATTAGCACTTAAATCGGCCTTGCCGGGACGAATTTGGGGTACTGTGGACACAATTTGACGGTATTGGCCTCCGGGAGCTATCCCAGAGTGCTCCATTGTGACCGCTCTGGACAGCACTCTCAACTCAGATGCACTGGCCAGGTAGACAGGAAAAGAACCGCGAACTTTTGAATCTCATTTCCTGTTTGGCCAGCGTGGCAAGCTGCAGGAGACCATGCAGAGCTCATCATCAGAGGTGACCATGATGGAGTCCCAGAATCGCAAAAGAGCTCCAGCATGGACCGAACGGGAGGTACGGGATCTGGTCGCTGTTTGGGGAGAGGAATCTGTGCTATCAGAACTCCGTTCCAGTTTTCAAAATGCCAAAACCTTTGTCAAAATCTCCCAGGGCATGAAGGACAGAGGCCATAACAGGGACCCGAAGCAGTGCCGCATGAAACTTAAGGAGCATAGGCAAGCCTACCAGAAAACCAGAGAGGCGAACGGCCGCTCCGGGTCAGAGCCCCAAACATGCCACTTCTATGATGAGCTGCATGCCATTTTAGGGGGTTCAGCCACCACTACCCCAGCCGTGTTGTTTGACTCCTTCAATGGAGATGGAGGCAACACGGAAGCAGGTTTTGGGGACGAAGAAGATGATGATGATGATGACGTAGATAGCTCACAGCAAGCAAGCGGAGAAACCGGTTTTCCCGACAGCCAGGAACTGTTTCTCACCCTGGACCTGGAGCCAGTACCCCCGAACCCACCCAAGGCTGCTTCCTGGACCCAGCAGGCGGAGAAGGGACCTCCGGTGAGTGTACCTTTTAAAATACTACACATGGTTTAAAAGCAAGCATGTGAAAGGATTAATTTGCCCTGGCATTCGCGGCTCTCCTGGATATGCTCCCAAAGCCTTTGCAAAAGGTTTCTGGGGAGGGCAGCCTTATTGCATCCTCCATGGTAGGACACTTTACCACTCCAGGCCAGTAACACGTACTCGGGAATCATTGTACAACAAAGCATTGCAGTGTATATTTGCTGGCATTCAAACAACATCCGTTCTTCATCTCTCTGTGTTATCCTCAGGAGAGTGAGATATCATTCATGGTCACCTGGTTGAAATAGGGTGCTTTTCTTCAGGAGACACTCAGAGGTGCCCGTTCCTGCTGGACTGTTTGCCTGTGGGTGAACAGAAATGTTCCCCACTGTTAGCCACGGGGAGGGAGGAGGGTTGAGGGGGTAGCCACGCGGTGGGGGGAGGCAAAATGCGACCTTGTAACGAAAGCATATGTGCTATGTATGTAATGTTAACAGCAAGGTTTACCCTGGAAGAGTGTAGCCACTGTTTTATAAAATGTGTCTTTTTAAATACCGCTGTCCCTTTTTTTTTCTCCACCAGCTGCATGTGTTTCAATGATCACAGGATCTTCTCCTTCCCAGAGGCTAGTGAAGATTAGAAAGAAAAAAAACGCACTCGCGATGAAATGTTCTCTGAGCTCATGCTGTCCTCCCACTCTGACAGAGCACAGACGAATGCGTGGAGGCAAATAATGTCAGAGTGCAGGAAAGCACAAAATGACTGGGAGGAGAGGTGGCGGGCTGAAGAGAGTAAGTGGCGGGCTGAAGAGAGTAAGTGGCGGGCTGAAGACAGGGCTGAAGCTCAAATGTGGCGGCAGCATGATGAGAGGAGGCAGGATTCAATGCTGAGGCTGCTGCAGGACCAAACCAGTATGCTCCAGAGTATGGTTGAGCTGCAGCAAAGGCAGCAGGAGCACAGACTGCCACTACAGCCCCTGAGTAACCAACCGCCCTCCTCCCCAAGTTCCATAGCCTCCACACCCAGACACCCAAGAACGCGGTGGGGGAGCCTCTGGCCAACCAGCCACTCCACCACAGAGGATTGCTCAAGCAACAGAAGGCTGGCATTCAATAAATTTTAAAGTTGTAAACTTTTAAAGTGCTGTGTGGCATTTTCCTTCCCTCCTCCACCACCCCTCCTGGGCTAACTTGGTAGTCATCCCCCTATTTGTGTGATGAATGAATAAAGAATGCATGAATGTGAAGCAACAATGACTTTATTGCCTCTGCAAGCGGTGATCGAAGGGAGGAGGGGAGGGTGGTTAGCCTACAGGGAAGTAGAGTGAACCAAGGGGCAGGGGGTTTCATCAGGGAGAAACAAACAGAACTTTCACACCGTAGCCTGTGCAGTCATGAAACTGGTTTTCAAAGCTTCTCTGATGCGTACCGTGCCCTCCTGTGCTCTTCTAACCGCCCTGGTGTCTGGCCGCGCGTAACCAGCAGCCAGGCGATTTGCCTCAACCTCCCACCCCGCCATAAATGTCTCCCCCTTACTCTCACAGATATTGTGGAGCACACAGCAAGCAGTAATAACAGTGGGAATATTGGTTTCGCTGAGGTCTAAGCGAGTCAGTAAACTGCGCCAGCGCGCCTTTAAACGTCCAGATGCACATTCTACCACCATTCTGCACTTGCTCAGCCTGTAGCTGAACAGCTCCTGACTACTGTCCAGGCTGCCTGTGTACGGCTTCATGAGCCATGGCATTAAGGGGTAGGCTGGGTCCCCAAGGATACATGTAGGCATTTCAACATCCCCAACAGTTATTTTCTGGTCTGGGAATAAAGTCCCTTCCTGCAGCTGTTGAAACAGACCAGAGTTCCTGAAGATGCGAGCGTCATGCACCTTTCCCGGCCATCCCACGTTAATGTTGGTGAAACATCCCTTGTGATCCACCAGAGCTTGCAGCACTATCGAAAAGTACCCCTTGCGGTTTATGTACTCGCCAGCTTGGTGCTCTGGTGCCAAGATAGGGATATGGGTTCTGTCTATGGCCCCACCACAGTTAGGGAATCCCATTGCAGCAAAGCCATCCACTATGACCTGCACATTTCCCAGGGTCACTACCCTTGATATCAGCAGATCTTTGATTGCGTGGGCTACTTGCATCACAGCAGCCCCCACAGTAGATTTGCCCACTCCAAATTGATTCCCAACTGACCGGTAGCTGTCTGGCGTTGCAAGCTTCCACAGGGCTATCGCCACTCGCTTCTCAACTGTGAGGGCTGCTCTCATCTTGGTATTCATGCACTTCAGGGCAGGGGAAAGCAAGTCACAGAGTTCCATGAAAGTGCCCTTACGCATGCGAAAGTTTTGCAGCCACTGGGAATCATCCCAGACCTGCAACACTGTGCGGTCCCACCAGTCTGTGCTTGTTTCCCGAGCCCAGAATCGGCGTTCCACAGCATGAACCTGCCCCATTAGCACCATGATGCATGCATTGGCAGGGCCCATGCTTTCAGAGAAATCTGTGTCCATGTCCTGATCACTCACGTGACCGCGCTGACGTCGCCTCCTCGCCCGGTATCGCTTTGCCAGGTTCTGGTGCTGCATATACTGCTGGATAATGCGCGTGGTGTTTAATGTGCTCCTAATTGCCAAAGTGAGCTGAGCGGCCTCCATGCTTGCCTTGGGATGGCGTCCGCACAGAAAAAAGGCGCGGAACAATTGTCTGCCGTTGCTCTGACGGAGGGAGGGGCGACTGACGACATGGCTTACAGGGTTGGCTTACAGGGAATTAAAATCAACAAAGGGGGTGGCTTTACATCAAGGAGTATTTCAGGCAGGACTTCACGGAGGGTTCCAATAAGAAATGGTGCACCTAAGTAATTGTTCTTATTGGAACAAGCAGGTTAGCCTGGCCTCTGATTGATACATGGCTAGATTTACCTCGCTGCACCTTCTCTGTGAGTGACTGCAGTGTGACCTAGAGGAATGAGTCCCCTAGACAGGGGAGGGGGGGAAGCAAACGAGTACAAAACAAATCTGGTCTATTTCTTGTTTTGATCCACTCCATCTATCTTTTACATCTTTGGCTGGCAGCAGACGGTGCAGAAGGACTGCAAGCCATCCACATCTCATGGCTGCTCGGCAGAAGACGGTGCAGTAGGACTGCTAGCCATCCTCATCTCTTGCCTGCTTGGCAGAAGATGGTACAGTAGGACTGCTAGCAATCCGTATCGCCTGCCTGCTCACCATAAGATGGTTCGATAGGACTGACTGCAGGACTAAAGAGAATGACCTGGTCAAGTCACTTCTAATGTAGTCCCTGCACCCATGTCTGGCCAGGAGCACCTCGGACATGACGATGACGGCTACCAGTCCTACTGCACCGTCTGCTGCCACAAGGCAAGGGGTTACTGCTGCTGTGTAGCAATGCCGTACCACGTCTGCCAGCACCCAGGAGACATACAGTGACGGTTACCTGAGCGGGCTCCATGCTTGTCGTGGTATGGCGTCTGCACAGGTAACTCAAGAAAAAAGGCGCAAAACGATTGTCTGCTGCTGCTTTCACGGAGGGAGGGAGGGAACGGGGGCCTGACGATATGTACCCAGAACCACCCGCGACAAAGTTTTAGCCCCATCAGGCATTGGGATCTCAACCCAGAATTCCAATGGGCAGCGGAGACTGCGGGAACTGTGGGATAGCTACCCACAGTGCAACGCTCCGGAAGTCGACGCTTGCCTCGGTACTGTGGACGCACTCCGCCGAGTTAATGCACTTAGAGCATTTTCTGTGGGGACACACACACTCGAATATATAAAAACGATTTCTAAAAAAACGACTTCTATAAATTCGACCTAATTTCGTAGTGTAGACATACCCTCAGAGTTGGTTCTGGATTCAGCTAAAGCCCAGGAAGGGAAGGGTCCTAAGTTTGTGTCTGGTTGGGAGAATGGCCCTGTAACTAGGTCGCATCCAGTTAGCGTCTATGCAAAATCCCAGAGACCACACAATTCTGGTGCTTGTATTTTGCCCGTAGCTAGTGTGGTGTTGGGAAAGGGTGTCACAACTCTGTCTGATCAGGGTGAGATCCTAGACAGGGCACAAGGAGAGCAGGAAGGTGATTTGATTGTGTTACCTACTGAGGGTGTGGAAACCTGTAGCAAGAAGGAAAAGATTCCTGAACTTGTGTGTGGCAAAGGGAAGGAGAATGCTTCTAACCTTTTATCTAGGAAGTCTGTAAATTTGCCTGAAAGGGGATTGTGTAGGAATCCACCAGATGGGCCAGAGGTAATTCTGGATGTAAGTGAGACCCAGAAAGAGTCTGTTGTTGCTCAGGAAAGTGTTCCTCTAGAGCAAGCCCTAGGTGAAGAGGGTAAGGGCAGAATTTCTCAAAAAGAAATGGAGGACTTGTGGCACCTTAGAGACTAACCAATTTATTTGAGCATAAGCTTTCGTGAGCTACAGCTCACTTCATCGGATGCATACTGTGGAAAGTACAGAAGATCTTTTTATACACACAAACCATGAAAAAATGGGTGTTTACCACTACAAAAGGTTTTCTCTCCCCCCACCCCACTCTCCTGCTGGTAATAGCTTATCTAAAGTGATCACTCTCCTTACAATGTGTATGATAATCAAGTTGGGCCATTTCCAGCACAAATCCAGGTCCCCCCCCCCAAACCCACTCTCCTGTTGGTAATAGCTTATCTAAAGTGATCACTCTCCTTACCATGTATATGATAATCAAGGTGGGCCATTTCCAGCACAAATCCAGGGTTTAACAAGAACGTCTGGGGAGGAGGGGGAGGAAAAAACAAGGGGAAATAGAATTTCTGTGAAGGGTGAACTGTTGCATAGAAAAGCCCTAGGGAAAGGAATCCTCATGGAGTCTTTGCAAGTAGTTTACTGCCACTGAAGGGTGTGAAAGTGATTTAATCAAGAAAGTTTCAGTTCCTAACAGCCAGAAATGTTCTGTTGTGAATGGATCCACTGACTTTCCTGTTGAAGGATCCAGTGTGGATAGCTTTGAGAAGGTCTCCAAGGGAGTGAAAGCTGTTAAGAAAGTTAAACAGTCCTCTAACCAAGTGGCTGTGTTTGGCCAGCTTGTTGGGGAGACAAGGTTGTTGAGAAAGGGATGTCTCCATGCTAGTTCTGTCAGTGAACAGTATGTGGCCCAGGTCAAGATGGGGGCTCTTAACCAAGAGAGCCCGAATTGCAGCCCTCCAGACTGGAGCGCTGGGAGAAGACCCGATCCCAGTTTGACCCCCGGGGGTTTTGGGGTGGCAAAAGGGCACTGGCCGCATAAACCTTCCCACATGCATGGGCATGCGAGTGCTATTGACCAACAACAACCTAAGGGAGGGCGTGAAACTGGAAGGGTCTGGTGTAACTCCCACCAAGGAACGGGAGAGATGCTGGGGCATCCATGGGAACATTGGTGGCTTTGAACTTCCCCAGGTCACCAGCTAATGTGACCCCGCTCAGTTCGGTCTCGAAGGGGGGAGAGATGTGACGAAGCGGGACTGTTCTTAATGTTTCCTCTGAATATTGTGGGGGTGCCTCAGTTTCCACTAGGCAGTTCTTAAGTATCTAGGTGGTGGGATAAGGGTGTATGATCATTGCAGAGCCCTAGAGGGCAGGTGTGTGCAGGGGTCTGGACACAGAGAATGGCTGACACCCTCTTTCCTGGCAACTGATGGCCTGGCCCTCCTGCAAGGTGAGAACTAACCTGGAAATCCTGGACGCCACATCATCTCAGGCATTGGCACCCTGACAGCAGGATTGTCTGGCTATGTAGACTCCCTCCTCAGGCCCTACGCTACCAGCACTCCCAGCTATCTTCGAGACACCACTGACTTCCTGAGGAAACTACAATCCATCGGTGATCTTCCTGAAAACACCATCCCGGCCACTATGGATGTAGAAGCCTTCTACACCAACATTCCACACAAAGATGGACTACAAGCCGTCAGGAACACTATCCCCGATAATGTCACGGCTAACCTGGTGGCTGAACTTTGTGACTTTGTCCTCACCCATAACTATTTCACATTTGGGGACAATGTATACCTTCAAATCAGCGGCACTGCTATGGGTACCCGCATGGCCCCACAGTATGCCAACATTTTTATGGCTGACTTAGAACAAGGCTTTCTCAGCTCTCGTCCCCTAATGCCCCTACTCTACTTCCGCTATATTGATGACATCTTCATCATCTGGACCCATGGAAAAGAAGCCCTTGAGGAATTCCACCATGATTTCAACAATTTCCATCCCACCATCAACCTCAGCCTGGACCAGTCCAGACAAGAGATCCACTTCCTGGACACTACGGTGCTAATAAGCGATGGTCACATCACCACCACCCTATACCGGAAACCTACTGACCGCCATACTTATCTACATGCCTCCAGCTTTCATCCAGACCACACCACACGATCCATTGTCTACAGCCAAGCTCTGCGATACAACTGCATTTGCTCCAACCCCTCAGACAGAGACAAACACCTACAAGATCTCTACCAAGCGTTCTTACTACTACAATACCCACCTGCGGAAGTGAAGAAACAGATTGACAGAGCCAGAAGAGTTCCCAGAAGTCACCTACTACAGGACAGGCCCAACAGAGAAAACAACAGAACGCCGCTAGCCATCACCTTCAGCCCCCAGCTAAAACCTCTCCAACGCACCATCAAGGATCTACAACCTATCCTGAAGGAGGACCCATCACTCTCATGGATCTTGGGAGACAGGCCAGTCCTTGCCTACAGACAGCCCCCCAACCTGAAGCAAATACTCACCAGCAACCACACACCACACAACAGAACCACTAACGCAGGAACCTATCCTTGCAACAAAGCCCGTTGCCAATTGTGTCCACATATCTATTCAGGGGACACCATCATAGGGCCTAATAACATCAGCCACACTATCAGAGGCTCGTTCACCTGCACATCTACCAATGTGATAGATGCCATCATGTGCCAGCAATGCCCCTCTGCCATGTACGTTGGCCAAATCGGACAGTCTCTACGTAAAAGAATAAATGGACACAAATCAGATGTCAAGAATTATAACTTCATAAACCAGTCAGAGAACACTTCAATCTCTCTGGTCACCCGATTACAGACCTAAAAGTCGCAATATTACAACAAAAACAGACTCCAACGAGAGACTGCTGAATTGGAATTAATTTGCAAACTGGATACAATTAATTTAGGCTTGAATAGAGACTGGGAGTGGATGAGTCATTACACAAAGTAAAACTATTTCCCCATGTTTATTTCCCCCCCCCCCCCACTGTTCCTCAGAGGTTCTTGTTAACTGCTGGAAATGGCCCACTTTGATTATCACTACAAAATGTTTTCTTACCCCCCCCAGCCCCCCGCTCTCCTGCTGGTAATAGCTCATCTTAAGTGATCACTCTCCTTACAGTGTGTATGGTAACACCCATTTTTTCATGTTCTCTGTGTATATAAATCTCCTCACTGTATTTTCCACTGAATGCATCTGATGAAGTGAGCTGTAGCTCACGAAAGCTTATGCTCAAATAAATTGGTTAGTCTTTAAGGTGCCACAAGTACTCCTTTTCTTTTTGTGAATACAGACTAACACGGCTGCTGCTCTGAAACCCTAACCCTAATCCTAACTCCATGCCTGGGCTAGTCACAGGAACTATCCTCCTGCCTGCCGCCCCCTTCCCCCTGACCCCTCGCAGTCCTTGACAGAAGACCCAGCCTTTGCTTCTCAGCTGCATCTGATAATAACAAGGCTGGCCCACCACGGGCTCTCCCAGGACAGACCAGGTTTGAGCTGATTTTGTCCGCATGGGAGCTGGCCCTGATTGAACTCAGACCCATTTTACAAAGGATTGAGGTGAGGCTGGTGCCGTGTATAATGCAGACAAGGGATTAGCGCGCGCCAGGGGGGACGCGCGCTGCGCCCCAGCCTCGAGGTGTTGGGTAAGTTCGGGTCTGTGTTTGTGCGGGTGTGTACATCCCTGGGGCTGTGTCTGTGTGTACGTACATGTATGGCGGAGTGGGTCTGCATGGGTGGATACATGTGTATGGCCATATGTGTGCGTGGATTTAGGTATTCATATATGTGTATGTACATGTATGGCTATACGTGTGCTTGGGTGCATACGTGTGTCTGTGTGTATGGACATGGGTGGCTATTTGGGGGCATGGGGGCATGTATGTATCTGTGTGCATGTTCGTGTGTGCATGTTCGTGTGTGCATGTACCCGTGTGGGTCTGTGGGTCTTTGTGCACATGCGTGTGACATGTCACAAGGCATACCCAGGAGTGGGAGGGGGCTCTCTGGTCATTTAAGCCTCAATGCTGCAGCTCCAACCTCCCTGGAGCCAGCCCCCCCCCCCCCGAGTGCTCCCCCCTCGTTCCAGTCCAGTCAGTTGGTCGGTTTCCCATCTGCAGTGCGAGCACTGGCTGGCATCCAACCAGCCTGGGCATTGCGCATCAGCAAACACAGGCCAGGATGCCAATGCCGGCGCGCCGATGGCCCGACGGGTTAACCCCCCTAACCGCCCGCCCGGACGGATCCGGGCTGCCTGGCCACGGGCAGACCTGGGGGTGAACCGTGGGGTTCAGCTGAGTGATCATTCCAGCCATCAGGGCACATTCCTGGGGCTCTTGGCCTATCCAGTGGGAGCAAGACCTGGTGGTTGTGTGAGCCAAGTGCTGCTGGGGGACAGGACCGGGCAGGCGGTTGGGGAGGGGGCAGATTGGTTTGATGCAGTGGTTTGATTTCCCAAAGAAGCACAGGGAGAGGTGGGTGAGTGTCCCTCCCTCTCCCTCTGCCCCCGCCGGCAGAGGGTGCCGCCCCTGGCTGCTGGATTGGACCCGAGCCAAGAGATCAGATCAAATTGCAGCTGCAAGCCAACATTCCTGCGGGCTGCGCCTCTTGGCACCCTGCCACCTCCTTGGCTGTTGCTAGAAAATGAACTAAACTTTCCACAGGGTGCTCCCTTGCCTGAGCTGGAGTGTGTGTGTCTGGAAAGCAGGGCGGGAGGGACATTGCAGGGCATCACCAGAGCTGTGGTGTGAGGCAGGAGGCCAGGGCTGCAGGTCGGGAGTGAGGGTCACCGGCAGGGCTGGGGGGGTCCCGCGCAGGGCTGCGGTAGCAGGGGCTGCAGGCGGGGAGTGAGGGGCACGGGCAGGGCTGGGTGGGGGGAGCCCAGGCCTGGGCTGACAGGGGCTGCGGGTGGGGAGTGAGGGGCATGGGCAGGGCTGGGTGGGGGGAGCCCAGGGCTGGGCTGACAGGGGCTGCGGGTGGGGAGTGAGGGGGCACGGGCAGGGCTGGGTGGGGGGAGCCCAGGCCTGGGCTGACAGGGGCTGCGGGTGGGGAGTGAGGGGACGGGCAGGGTGGGTGGAGGGAGCCCAGGCCTGGGCTGACAGGGGCTGCGGGTGGGGAGTGAGGGGCACGGGCAGGGCTGGGTGGGGGGAGCCCAGGGCTGGGCTGACAGGGGCTGCGGGTGGGGAGTGAGGGGCACGGGCAGGGCTGGGTGGGGGGAGCCCAGGCCTGGGCTGACAGGGGCTGCGGGTGGGGAGTGAGGGGCACGGGCAGGGCTGGGTGGGGGGAGCCCAGGGCTGGGCTGACAGGGGCTGCGGGTGGGGAGTGAGGGGCACGGGCAGGGCTGGGTGGGGGGAGCCCAGGCCTGGGCTGACAGGGGCTGCGGGTTGGGAGTGAGGGGCACGGACAGGGCTGGGTGGGGGGAGCCCAGGGCTGGGCTGACAGGGGCTGCGGGTTGGGAGTGAGGGGCACGGGCAGGGCTGCGGGGGGGAGCCCAGGCCTGGGCTGACAGGGGCTGCGGGTAGGGAGTGAGGGGCACGGGCAGGGCTGGGTGGGGGGAGCCAGGGCTGGGTGACAGGGGCTGGGGTGGGGAGTGAGGGGCAGGGCAGGGCTGGGTGGGGGAGCCCAGGGCTGGGCTGACAGGGGCTGCGGGTGGGGAGTGAGGGGCACGGGCAGGGCTGGGTGGGGGAGCCAGGCCTGGGCTGACAGGGGTGGGGTGGGGAGTGAGGGGCACGGGCAGGGTGGGGGGAGCCCAGGCCTGGGCTGACAGGGGCTGCGGGTGGGGAGTGAGGGGCACGGGCAGGGCTGGGTGGGGGGAGCCCAGGCCTGGGCTGGCAGGGGCTGCGGGTGGGGAGTGAGGGGCACGGGCAGGGCTGGGTGGGGGGAGCCCAGGGCTGGGCTGGCAGGGGCTGTGGGTGGGGAGTGAGGGGCACGGGCAGGGCTGGGTGGGGGGAGCCCAGGCCTGGGCTGACAGGGGCTGTGGGTGGGGAGTGAGGGGCACGGGCAGGGCTGGGTGGGGGGAGCCCAGGGCTGGGCTGACAGGGGCTGCGGGTGGGGAGTGAGGGGCACGGGCAGGGCTGGGTGGGGGGAGCCCAGGGCTGGGCTGACAGGGGCTGCGGGTCGGGAGTGAGGGGCACGGGCAGGGCTGCGGGGGGAGCCCAGGCCTGGGCTGACAGGGGCTGCGGGTTGGGAGTGAGGGGCACGGGCAGGGCTGGAAGGCCGAGGTCACCGTCCGGCTCACGCCAGGCCTGTCTCCAGCCGTTCTGGCTTGTCCTTGACCTGCCGAGGGGGCCCAGTGGGGCAGTGTGTGCGGGGGGAGGCCCGGAGGGGCACGGGTGCGCTGTGGGCAGGACTCCGGCCGAACCCAGGAGCTGCAAGCGGGGCAGAGTATGACCCGCCCCCCCTACTTCGCAGGCCTCCTCCCCCTTCCTGCCTTTCGTTACTTTCAGTTACAGTCTGGAGCCTCTGATGTCAGCCTGCGGGAGCCTCTCCCCACGTCAATCGCCACCTGGCTCTCCGACAAACCCTGCGAAGCCGGAAACACAACTGCAAACCCAAACCGGGGAGCGGGCCGGGGGGGCGGAGAAGCCCTGGCCCCGACGCCCCGACCCGCCAGCTCCCGCCCCCTCCGGGGCAGGATGGATTAAACAGACGCGTCCCCCTGGAAGCGACGGTCGAGGCTCGGCACAAGGTAACGGGGAGGCTGGACGAACGCCACCCCCCCACACCCCCCGGAACGGGGCCGGGGCCCAGGGATGGGAGCTCGGGAGCTCGACAGGCCGGGACCCGCTGGCCTCTCCAGCCAGGGGCGAGCATGAGGGTGAGGACGGGGGTCCGATCGCCGGGACCATGCGTCCGAGGAGCAGGCTCGAGGCCTGCACGGGGAACGAGGGTCACGCCCTCTGGCTGCCTGGTCAGGCCGCTGCTCTGCCGGGAGCAAAGGCTGGGTTTAAAATCTGCAGGCTGCTGAGGAAGCTCGCTGCTTCCCCCGGGCTCCGTGCCAAGCCGGGGCCCCGCGGAAGGACAGACAGTGAGGGAGGGGTCACCCAACCCCTGGAGTTGCTGTTTTATTTACAGATGTTACCCAGTCCAGCAGGCGATGAGGTTGGGCTGGGGCAATGCTCCTGAGGTTAGAGAGAGTGGGGTCTAGTGGTTGGAACAGGGGGCTGGGAGCCAGGATGCCTGGGTTCTATCCCCTGCTAGGGGAGGCTACTGGGTTAGAGTGGCGGGGCTGGGAAACAGGACTCCTGGGTTCTAATCCCCACTCTGGGCTGGGGTCTAGTGGGCTAAGACAGGGTGCGGTGGGGTGGGATGAGGCTGGGAGCCAGGACTCCTGGGTCCTATCCCCAGCTCTGGGGTGGGGGTGGGGAAGAGGCTGAACCACCCAGGAGCCACGCTTAGCATGTCCCAGCTGGAAGCGTCTCCCTGGAGCTCTCAGCCCCTTGGGTGTTTCTTGTGATCACGTAGGTGCAGCTGGGTAACGTCCCTGCTGGGCTTCACCCGCAGCTGTGGTGAAGTCCTAAGAGCTTCCCTCACAGGAGGGGGCGGGGTGGTGTGTGTTTAGCCCTTTAAGGGAAGTCATCCTCCAGCTCCGACCCTGGAAACAAGGGATTCTGGGACTTGGAGTCCAGGGGCACCATGGATGTTGTAGGCTGGCCAACAGTGCATGCTGGGAAAGGGAGCAGGGCTATAAAAGAGCTCCCTTTTTACCACTCAGGGAAAGCTTGGAGATGGGAGCAGTGTGAGCATCAGGGGAGCAGGGTCTGCTGGGAGGAATGGTCCTGTCCCCAGCTCCTGCTGCTCTTTGGCTGACGAGGGTGTGGTGCGATGAAGATCTGCGACGTAGGCCCACTCCTCTGGGAGGGGGCTAGATGTTGTCCCCCCCCCATCTGCCCCCCAAGCTCTCTGTGCCTGGTGCTTTGCAGGTCTGAGCCCCCTAACCAGGAAAAAACAGCACTGGGTTCTCCCATGCTGCCTGCAGCTTTCGAGAGGAGTCGCAGGACGCTGGGGGCAGAACCGCTGTGGCATGGGGACAAGCCTGGGCCCAAACCAGCGTGGCGTCTGTAGGGGGAAACCGGGCCTCTCTAACTCAGGAGGAAGCGAACAGGAAATTGGCGATGGGTGCTGCCACCCTCCAGTTGTTTCTTGTGGCTTAAAAAAAAGAGGATGGCCGGGGAGGGGTAGAAAGCAGGGAGGGGGAAAAAAGGCTTTGGATCCCGTAAAGTCTGGCCAAAGTTGAGTTCATCTCTGCTCTAGGCTCCTCTGTGTATTCACCCCTCTTCTTCTCCATCCCTCTCTGTGGGCCTAAGTGTCCCTTCCTGAAAGATACAGTCTTCCCCCCCCATTGGCAGGTGCCCTGCAGGAGTGGGTGGGGCCAGTGAACTGTATGGCACTTTTCCATGGCCCCGTTACAGTTTCTCTGCCTCCTGGTCTTTAATCTAGCCTTGCATGCCCTCCCTGCGCGGCGGGGCAGTGCCCCATCCTTCCTGCTCCCTCACAAGCCTGGGGGAGCTTCGGGCTGGGCAAGGCGAAGCTGAAGGAGGCTAGGTTGAAATTCTCTGGGCGACTGGCTCTGAACCTGGCGGTGTGGATGCGGCTGGGCAGGGCGTCTGGGGAAAGGCAAATGGGATGGTCTTGGTCGGGCAAAGAGGGAGCCAAGTGGGGGCGATGCTCGGTTGCGTTGCCATCCAAGGCTCCAGGTCCGATCAGCTGGAGCAGGATCTGGCAGGGGTGGGTAAGTCGTGGGTCACACCAGGCCTGGCCTGGGAGCGCCGGAGCAGGGGAGCGGGCGGTGAGAGGCTGCTGACATCCCTGCACAGAGCTCCACCCCTCTTGAGCCCTTTTACGGCGGCTGGGCGGCATGGGAGGGAAACCCTGCTTTTCCTGGCACACAGTGGGCAGCGGCTGCCGCGGGAATCCCACTAGCTGTGGCGTTTCAGGGGTCAAGCAGCCGTACCCCAGGTGACGAAGGGGAACGGCTGATGGGGGAAGAGCCTGGCAATGTGAATTTCCTCATGGCTCTTCCACCTGCGAGTCATGAAATCTCCCACACGAGGGTGGGAGCACACACGGCAGGGACAGGCTGTGGCATCCTCCCGGGCGGGGAGGGGGCAAAATGGGGACCAGCTTCCCTGGCAGTACCACAAAACACCCCCTGTTGTCATGCGTTCCCCACACAAGCACAGGCAGCCGTGGCTCCTAGCGAAATGCACGTGGGTTGTAAAATTCAAGGAGGAGGATCTGGGGGGGGGCTTCTGTTATCCTCTCGGGTATCCCAGCTCCACCCTGTACCCTAGGCTTCAGCTCCCCTGGTACCGTGCCAGTCTTCTGGCTCACTGTCTCCCCTGATCAATCCTCTCCAGCCCCTGCCCCTTGGGGCTGCTCCTTCCTTACCCCTGGGTGGGGAGATCATAGCTCTTATCTAGACGGTCGGATGTGTGCTGGGGATGTTCCCATTATTCATCTAAGGAGGGTCATGTTAGAAATTCTGCCAGGTGTGACAAAATCATGTGGCAGTCAGTTCCGCAGGCGTGCCGGGGCATGTTCAAAACCACAGCCAGCATGCTGTCTGGTGCTGAGAGTACCGATCTCTCTGAAAGTCACCAGTGATTCTACTATTAGAAACTGCCCTGATCCTCTTGCGGGCTAAAGGCAAGCACTGGACGCTTTGCCGAGCGTCAGGCCTGAGTGGGGTCACCTGGGGAAGCCCCGGTCTCTCTCTCTCTCTCTCTGAATCAGCAGGGCTTTCACTGCCATATGAACTGGTGTCTGTGGCTCTTTTGCTGCAATCTGTGGCTTCCCGTCTGCTTCACACCGTGCAAGGGTGCGGATCTGCCAGCCTGTGAGAGAGATGTTGGCTTGGCAGCTTTCTCACGGCTCTTATCACCCTGAAATCTGAGCCTCAGGGGGCTGAATCATCCCTCTCCCCACAGCAAAGAGAGGGAAACTGAGGCTCGGAGAAGAGGAGTGATGGGAGTGAGTGGAGCCAGGACTAGATCTCAGGTCTCCTGGGCTTTACCCACTGGGAATTCCTTCCTCCGCGAGCGGCTCCCCTGAAATCTCTGCTGGCTTCTCCCCTCCAAGAAAAAAAACAAGAAAGCTCTGCATGCTGGGTGCGTCCTGTTCCGGGAGCCAAACGGGGTGTCGGGGGGGGGGGGGGGCTGTGCACGGAGCTGGCCCCTGGCTCTCCCCACCGCCCCCGATCCTGAGCGGCGAGCTGCCTCGCTGTGCCAGGAACTGTGGGCGTGCGGGGGACTCGGAGTCATGTGTTGTTCCAGGGAGCGTTGTGGGAGGGGAAGGGCCCAGCTGGGGTGCCCCCTGTCCCTGCAGCACAGGTGCCTTCCTGCCCAAAGACTGATTGTCGGGGGCGGGTGAAGGGGGTCCATGGAACTGGGGGGGGGTGCAGGGGGGGGTTGTGCCTCGTGTTGTCAGGAAATGACAGAGCATCTCATGAGTAATTGCCGTCTCCAGGGCTGGGACGCAGCCTCGGCTTCCCAATGCGCTATGACTAAGTAGAAAGCCCACGGAGGCCTCTATTCTTCCCAAATGGGCTGTGCCCCCCCTCCACCTTTCCCTGGGGGGTCAGGGAGTGCCCCCCCCCCGCTGTGGGGGAGATTAAAATGGCCTCTTCAGCAGCTGCCAGTCACCAGAAAGGGAAGCGAAACTGATTGCCCCCATGGAGGAACCCGCGGGGGAGATTCCTGCCCTGGCTGTTCCTCTGATGCGCCCCCAAAACATGAGGCAATTGTCGCCAGCTGCGCAGGTCGCTGGTCCATGGAAACGTGTAACGACCGGTTGAGTCAGCGACGGTCTGAAGGGAACATAATGAGCGGCAGGTCTGGAGCAGCAGCCTCTGAGCGGCCGCACGCCCCCAGCACTGCGGGCGAACGGCCCCGGTGGGTGCAGGGAGCAGGAGCCAGGGAACCAGCAGGAAGGTGTCGCATGCCAGCCAGTGCAGATGCAAACTGCTTCATGGATGGCTGATCTCCAAAATCAACAGGAGCTAATCCCAGCGCTCTGCAGGGAGACGGGTGCGGCTGGCCAAATTTCGGCTGGTGCAGGATTGGAACCACAGATCCCCAGCCTGAGCTAAAGGAGTGCTCCCCCTGCCTGCAGAATAGTAGTAGGTCTCTTATCTGCTAAGTGGTCCCGGACACTAGAGGGCAGTATTGTTCAGGCTCGCCAGCGCGGCAGGGGACAGGTGGCTTAAAGCACTGAGTGGCAGCCTCACGGGGTTGGGACAGTGCCAGGCGGGGTGTGTGATTTCATTCCGGGTTGAATGAGAGACCACGGTGATGGGCACGCAAGGGTCCAATGTCCCTCCCACTGGTAACTGCATGTTTGATTTGGCTTGTGATGCATCCCCTCCTGCCCAGGGGAGCAGGTTAACACCCGCCCAGCTGTGTTTGATCTGCAAACGTTCTTGAGCATCCCTGAGATACACAAACTCCAGGGAGTTGTTCTCCTGGGAGCTCTCCTTAGAGGGTTTGGGGAAGTTGACACTGAATGCTGGCCGTTTTGTACAGGAACAGAGATTGCAGTGGAGAATGGTGGTTACCACATGAGGTGTGGAGTAATAACTTCTCAACAGGGACAGTCGGCGGGAGACAGAATTCACACGCCGCTGAATTGAGGCTCTCTGGGTCCTAGGTACAACACACTTGGAGGGGACACTGTGGTCCTGCCCCTGCACCATAACCCCACCTTTCATTGGTGTGGCCGTGGCTTTTAGAGTCAAGCTAAGCATGGTGGAGCTATTGTTTCTGGCTCTCTGCAAACTCAGGTAGGGATGGGTTCCACTTGGGTCCTGTTCTCTAGCTTTTCTTCGCCCACATGAGGGTCAGAAACAGAATGCTGAAGTTCTGATCCCTCCTGGGACTCTGGGGTCTAGACTATGATGTAACCCGGCCCTATGCATGCACATGTAAGCTTTAAATGGAGGGGGACTGGCTCTTTCTCGGGGGGCCGGGGAGCAAGATACCCATCTTTTTTCCCCTTTTTGTTCTATTTAGGTTCTTACATCCTGAGCATCCCTATGGTATCTGGGCACTACACACTCTGATTCTCACTCAGAAGCTCCTCAGCGCCACTCCAGACAGGCAGGGCCATCTGAGAATCCGCCAGTGCTGGAAGTTTCCTTAGTATGGCACTGACATAAGGGCTCTGTGCCATGCCCTGCTCTTGGGCTCCCATTCACCCCCAGTGCACAGGGCAGAGCTGGCTTGGCTGGCACAGATTGGGCTACAGCTTATTCTCTGCCCCCCCAGGGCCCACGTGATAGGAGGTAGATGGGGGGGCCCATGGCCGGAGCTACCCTCCACTGCCAGGCCCATGGCGCAGCGTCCGTGTTGAACCGAGCTCTGCAAAGTGGGAGGAGATCGCTGGGGCGAACCTGCGGGTATTTACCAGCATGCACTGGCTCTGTTCCTGTAGGCTGAGCCTTATCAGCATTGGGAGATTGAAATGATCAGACTATGTTGCATTCGAGCCAGTATCCCTTGGTCAAAAATTAACCTGTTTCAGGAATCCCCGGGCCCAGCTCGCGCTGGGACAGCGGCATTGCCAGCTTTACGCTGAGGGGAGTGGGTGAGGGCTGAGCCCTGCTGATTTCAGCGAGCCCCGGAGGAGACAGGTGAGATTTAAGGGCTTTGCTTCTTCCTTAAGTGGCTTCTCCACACGTGGATTCTCCCCACCCCTCCGCCCCCGGCCGAAGGCGTGCAAAGTGGGTGGCAAATGCTAGCAGATCAGAAGCCTTTTCCATCTGCTCGGCAGGAGCGTAGGAGACAATGCCAGCAGAAGGGAGAAAAAGGCCCTGGGTTTTTGCCAGCGTCCCCTGTCAGACACACAAAGCCACTTCCCCAAAGCAGGCAAGCCTGGCTGGTTTTGTTTGTTTCCTCCGAGATGCTGCTTATGTTGTAATCCTGGTCTGGTTTCCTGGCCTTGCCCGCGGCCTCCTCAAGGCCTTTGCAAACTCCACCTCTTCTCGTACTTTGCTTCTGTTATTGTTTAGTAACAGTCACTAGTCCGGGCCCTTGGTTGCCGTCTCTGGGGGCCCCTGGCTGCTCACTCTCGCATGCAGCCCAAGCCAAAAGCCGCTCCTTGGCTTGGATCCCAGAAGGAGCAAAATCCTGCCAGGGTTTCCGCTCGCTGCCTCCCCTCCGAGCAGCGACGTGCAAAAGATCTGTCTTGAGGGGAAGAAATAACAGCCAGATCAGGAGCTGGTGCAAACCAGAGCAGCTCTATGGAAACCGAGCGGTGGTGAAGCTGATCGACACTAACTGAGGATCTGGCCTGAAGTGTGTCTGGTTTTCATTGCAAACGGGGAGTCCTGTTGCAGGGCCCCGGCGGGATTTCCCTGCTGGGAACCGACAGCAGAACTTGCCCTGTTCCTGGACCCTGGAAGGAATAAGAGGACACAAGGATGCAAGACTGTAGTGGATCCTTGATCTGTCTGTCTCCACCAGAAGCCAGGACCTGAGGCTTCAGGGGAGGTGAAGAAACCTCTGCAGGAAGCAGATATAGAATAAACTGTCTCTGGGGGAAGTTTCTTCCTGACCTCCAGAAGTTAGAGGGCGGCATTTGTCCTGGAGCATGAGGATTTATAGCCCGGCCACAACTCTTCTCATTACAGCTCCTGTTCTATAAAGGGTCATGAGTTCTTGAGTTCCAAGAAATCTCGTGTCAATGAATCCCACCAGCTTGTTAAGTGTTGCTGGGATGGTGTGCGGCGCGGGGAGGGGGGCACTCCCCAGGGGCTGGATGCTCCCACGCTGGGGGAGATAAGGGAGAACTGGTGCAAGGGATGGGGGTGGACAGGGATAACAGGCTTTGGAAATGATTTTCCGGCCCTTGAGCTGATAGGGTGATCCCAGGGACAGCTAAGCAGGGCTAGATGGGACAGATGTGCTGCCAGCCCCACATGCCCCAACTCCCTCTGACCTAGACTTTAAAATCAACAACCTGTCTTAGGTACTTCTCTGCCCCCCGCCATTACTGTAGTATCTGAGCTCCAAACTTTGAGGTATTTATCCCCACAACCTTCCCCAGTGAGGCAGTGCTATTCTCCCTATTGTAGAGATGGGGAAACCGAGGCACATGAGGTCATGCAGGGGCGGAGCAGGGAATTGAACTGGGGTCTAGCAGTATAACGACCGGGTCACCCGTTCTTTCTTTCTCTATAATTTGTCACTGGCCCCGGCACATAATAACAATGCTGAGCTCTTCTCTTTGAAGCACTTTGCAAAGGAGGTCAGTTGCATTGTCCCCCAATTCACAGATGGGGGGAAACTGAGGCACGGAGAGGGGAAGTGACTTGCCCAAGGCCACTCCGGAGGCCAGCAGCAGAGCCAGAAATAGAGCCCGGGTTTCCTGAGGCCTAGTTCAGGATACTCTCTCTCCACTTGGCCATGCTGCTCTTTCCAGAGGTCCCTGAGGGAGACACCAGGGACTCGGGTCGTTTGCAGGGAAGGCTTGAGGGGTTAACCATGAATAGTTGGAGGCCCGGCTCACGCCGCCTTCTCCTATCTATTTTTAGCCCCATAGGCGGCCAGCTCCAAGATGTCCCTGTGGAGCCTCGTCTCCCACATGCCTCCAGAGCACTTCAGTGGCCTCTTCGGGGAGTTCCCACGTGACCTGCGGAGTCTGCTGGCGGACTGGCTGGAAAACCAGCCGTGGTGAGTGGGGAACGCCCATCCCTCGCTCCCTACGACAAACGCCCCACTGCCCAGCCTCTCTTGGGCCTCCCGTCTTGTCTGCACAAGCTCAGGGCAGGAGGAATCCAAGTGGTTCCTTCCTCCTGGAGGAGTGGAGCAGCGTCTCCCGCTCAGAAAATCCCAAGCTGGGCCCCCGAAGTCGTGAGACAGCCCAGTCGAGGTTCGGTTCTCCCAGTTGGGCTGGCCAGGGGAGGCCGGGACGTCTGCACTCGTTCATCTCTCCCTCCCTTTCTCTCTTGCCCTTTCCTCCGCTGCCAGGGAGTTCATCACCGGCACCGACTCCTTCTGCATCAGCGCGGCCGGCGTGCTGCTCTCCGCCATGGTGGAAAAGGTCCGTGGCCTTGCCGGCGGCAACGAGCAGCAGCGTCAGGTCCTCCAGCTCGTCAGTAACCTGGAGGTATGGCCCGGAGGCTGTGTGTGAGTGGGGGGTTAGGGTTAGGGTTATTTATTTCGGCTTATAACCCCCCAGCCAACCCCCTCCCCCCATGGCTTTGGTCCCAGACACTGGTTAACATTCACACTCAACAGCGCCTCCCACTGCAGCATCAAGTATTACAGCCAATATTACAACCCCCCCACCCCCCAATGACGTTTTTGGGGCAAAGCAAATATTTTTTTCAGAAAATTTGCATTTTGGGTGACACTCTTGGTTTTGGGTTTTTTTTTTTAATGACGTCCAATTTTTTGATAAAAATTTGTGGGATTTTTTGTTTTGTTTTTATTTAAAATGTTGCGGGGGGGGAGGGGTTGGCTCTCAAAATCCAGCGTGTGTTTTGGGGTTTTTTTACTGAAAACTTGAAAGGTTTTTGGTTTTTCGTCGATCAAATTACTTTTTTTTTCCTGCTAGGAAATTAAAAAAACAACAAAAAAAGAATCTTTGAAATTTTCCCACCAAAAAAATCATTAAGTTCTATTAAATACAAAGAGGCAATTAAATCTTGGATCAAACTATCCTTTTCCCTGGAACAAATTTAAGCCCTGACTGGGCCATGAGCAGTGCATGGACACAGGGCTTTCCTTAAAGGATCGGGGCTTTTCTGAAGATATATTTTGAAATATTAGCCCTATCTACGTTACATGCCTGGAGTACTTCAGTGCTAATAGCAGAGTCTAGAGTAGCTTAAAATCACAGCTGCTGTGTGGCCAATCTTGGAACTTTTACGACAGACTCTTCTGTTTTGATTTTTAGCTGCTTTGGAATATTCAGAGCTGGTCAAAAAACCAGCCGGAGCACATCAGGAATTTTTAACTGAAATGCTTTTTGGTCAGAAAACGTCAATTCCTTAGAACGGAAACTGCCCACGAGAAAGGGGATTGTTTCACCAAAGCTCCTGCTTTCAAAAAACTGCCAAAAAGACAGTTTTTTAAAAAAATTTTCCCCACGATTCAAAACAAGTTTTTTGCTTTTGCCATTTTAGTTATTTTATACGAACAAAATCAAAACAAAACATTTTCAAGCTGTTGAAATGAAACTTTTCGACTGAGCCACTCCAGGGTTGTTGTTGTTTTTTTTTTCTGGATTATTGGTTTGCAAAGATGTTCAAGATTTTGAATTTTTGTCCTGTTTTGGGGTGGAGGAAAAATTCTGAAACCTCAAACTCCTGGGGGATGGGAAAACCATTTCTCACCCAACCCTGTAACCAACCCACGTGGGCCTACAGCCGAATTTGAACCTACAGAGGTCAAACCCTGAGCCTCTGCTGTTTGAAGCATGGGTGTCTATCGTGGCCTTATGAGCCTCTCTGTGGATGAACTACTGGGGGAGACAAAGACCTGTGGGCACCTAGCTGCCGTGCCCACGAACAGGTGCTGTTTTGCACCAATTCGCACAAGTGTGACTGAGGATGCAGGGTGCCGGAGTCAGGGGGAGAGTGGGAATTCTCCCTCTATTAATGCTAACCATGTCCCCCTGCCCTCCCATTCCAGAATACGTATCGGAGAGACCCGCTGAGGCTGGTGGCAGTCGTGAAAGGAATTCTGGAGGGCGAGAGAGCAGCCTTGCTCAAACGGGCAAGTGACTCACACCTGTGCGGGCACAAACCCGTGATAAACGACTGCACCTTGTCCTCCATCCCAGCCTGTACTGTAGCTTTTCCCGGCCCCTCCATAGCTGGGCGGCTGGTGGTGTCTGTCGGCCTGTATGTTGGCTGGGGAGGATTTGGGCCCTAGATGGAGGGCACATCAGTGCCGGTCAGCCCTGTTGGCCTATCAGTTGGCCAGTGTAGGGGTCTGTGCAAGGTGATTTCCCAGGGGACTGCGGGGGCACGGCTAGGTAGATGCTGCTTGAATTACATAGGGCCTTGTGGTCTCCTTGCTGATCCCACGTGGGTCTTGCAGCCATGGGACAGCCAGCAGCGGTTTGGGCCATGTGGTTTGCGGGATGATCGCTCACCTCTGGGTAAATGAGCCCCTCCAGCTCCTCCGTGTCCTCCTGCCAGGCGCTGCTGTCCCAGAGAAGCGCCTGACGCCAAAGCATCAGAACTTAAAAAGCCGCAGGAGCCCGGTGGAGGACCCGGTTCCCTGCAGGGATGGGGAGGTTGTCCCACCACAGGGGGGCTCGTGGGGGGGACATTCGGCTCATGTTTTACCCCCACCCCCTTTGCCGTTCCCCTAGGATCGCCACCTGCCGCTCAGCTTCCACCGCAGGCAGGAGGAACTGAAGTTTGGGCTGGACCTGCAGAGGCTCCAGCACCGAGTCGGGGAGATCCAGGTGCTCCAGGAACGGTGGAAGCAGAAGGGAGACGGGACCAGAGGTGAGAGAGGGTGAGGGGCTGGAGGAGTGATGGGGAGGAGTTAGGAGGGGCTGGAGGTGTGAAGAGGGGGGTGGAGTTAGGAGGGGCTGGGAGGGGATTGGAGAGAGAGAGGGTGGGCGGGGCTGGAGGCGTGAAGGGATGGGGGTTAAAGAGGTGCTGGAAGGGGATTGGACGACAGAGGGTGGGCGGGGCTGGAGGTGAGAAGGGATGGGGTTAAAGAGGTGCTGGAAGGGGATTGGACGACAGAGGGTGGGCGGGGCTGGAGGTGTGAAGGGGGGCGGAGTTGGGAGGGGCTGGAAGGGGATTGGACGACAGAGGGTGGGCGGGGCTGGAGGTGTGAAGAAGGGGGTGGAGTTGGGAGGGGCTGGAAGGGGATTGGACGACAGGGTGGGCGGGGCTGGAGGTGTGAAGGGGCGGAGTTGGGAGGGGCTGGAAGGGGATTGACGACAGGGTGGGCGGGGCTGGAGGTGTGAAGAGGGGGGTGGAGTTGGGAGGGGCTGGAAGGGGATTGGACGCAGGGTGGGCGGGGCTGGAGGTGTAAAGGGGTGGCGGAGTTGGGAGGGGGCTGGAAGGGGATTGGACGACAGAGGGTGGGCGGGCTGGAGGTGTGAAGAAGGGGGTGGAGTTGGGAGGGGCTGGAAGGGGATTGGACGACAAGGTGGGCGGGGCTGGAGGTGTGAAGGGGGCGGAGTTGGGAGGGGCTGGAAGGGGATTGATGACAGGGTGGGCGGGGCTGGAGGTGTGAAGGGGGCGGAGTTGGGAGGGGCTGGAAGGGGATTGGACGACAGAGGGTGGGCGGGCTGGAGGTGTGAAGAAGGGGGTGGAGTTGGGAGGGGCTGGAAGGGGATTGGACGACAGGGTGGGCGGGGCTGGAGGTGTGAAGGGGGCGGAGTTGGGAGGGGCTGGAAGGGGATTGGACGACAGAGGGTGGGCGGGCTGGAGGTGTGCAGATGGGGTGGAGTCGGGGGCGGTGCACCGGGGCGTGTCTCCCCAGCTCTGACCTTGACCCCGGTTCCCTGACACAAACCCCAGTGACCAGGCTAATTATGCAATCGCCATGGCAACGGCTGGACAGGCCCCACTAGACCCATCTGGGCCTGGGCTGGGTTTGTTCCCTCCACCGCTTGCCCTGCCTGGTTCGAAATGTGCCCCCGGCCCAGCTCGGCCTCCACGCTATGGGGACAGGGGCTCCCTCCCAGCCTGGGCATGGGGCCCTTCAGCTCCATTTTCTCTCTGTCTCCCTTCAATCCCGCTCCGCCCCATGGCCTGCCCCCGGACACGTCCCCTCCTCCCCCCTCAGAGCTGGGAGCCGGCTTCTCTCCTGTCACTTTGCCCAAAGACACCGATCGCGGGGCCTCGACTGTGGCCTGGACCCTCAGCAGGGCTGAGCCCTCGCGGTGCGGTCCTGACACGCAGGGCACTGAAAATCACGGCCCCGTGCGGGGAACGTGGCTGCGGGATCGTTTATCCACCCCCACATCAGCACCCACTGCCCTCTCGCCAGCCATCTCTCCCCTCCGGTTGCTCAGTATCTTCTTGGCATCCCGCTCGTCTCCCGTTTCCAGGGTTCACGCCCCAGCTCCTTCTCCTGCTAGAAATTGCATGACGCTGGGGATCATGGGCCTGGGCTGGGGACTGAACCCAGGAACTGTCCTGAGCGGACAGCATGATCTGCTCCAGCTAGAGCTGCGACCGACTCCTCTCCCTCTGGATTGGGCACCCAGAAGCCCCGCTGCGCCGGGGCGGGGGGGGAATCCGGAAGCAGCCCCCTGGCAGTTTGTTTTCTGGGCTCGGATATTAACCAGGGCTTTACCACTCCTCCTCCCGCAGCCTGCCGGCAGACGAATCTGCAGGAATCCCAGATGAAGACAGACGGGAAACTCCAGGGGAACGTGAGTAATGGAGGCTGGGGTTGGGGAGTGACAAGGCTGAAAATGGGGTGGGGGGGCTGAAGCTGGGGTAGCTGGACCGACCGGTGAGCGCAGATCCGGTCGCTTGTAGGGATGGAGGATGCAAAGCAACTGGATTTCCCAAGGGAGGCGCAAGGTGTTAGGGTCGAGGGGCGTGGGGGGGGGCGGGGGGAGGTTACATGTGATCAGTTGCAGCCTTGGGAAGCTGTCAGCAAAGAGCAGCTGGTCTCCTGCTGTGGTGATGCAAAGGAGGCTGGAAGCTGCATTACACAGTCAGCTGGTGTGTGAGTGGATGCGGGGCTGGGGACACCGCAGCCAGCCATATCCTCGCTCGTGACGGCCCCTCCGCTGAGGCCTGGTGGGGAGGGCAGAGATGGGCGCCGGCCAGGGCACCATGCCCTCCTTCTCCCTAGGATGCGCGTGTGGGGCAGGAGGCCAAGGTGGCTTCGTGTCAGCTGCTCCATCCCTCACCCATTTCATCCCGCCGGGCTCAGCTGCCGTGGGGGGCAGGCCCACGCATTGCTCCAAGGCAGGGGGTGCCAGGTACCGCACCGGGCCCCATCCGCCCGGCTCGTCGCCTCCCCCCCCAGCAAGCCGCCCGCCTTGTCTCGCCCCAGGATCTGCCCGCTCTCATCCTGGAGGCCATGAAGGAGCTGGAAGGCGCCAAGCTGCAGGTGCTGAAGAGGCTCCACATCTGGAAGCGGCAGCAGCAGCTGGCGGGGAACGGGGCTGTCTTCGAGGAGAACCTGGCTCCGCTCCAGAAGAGGTGAGCCCCAGAGGATGGGGGGGGCCGAGCCTCACAGCCTGGGGTGTGGCAGAGGTGTTTCTCCCCACTTCTTGGGGGCTCCAGAGGGGGCACAGATCCCCTCCTTCTCCCAGTTGCCGGCGGCCCCACTGGGATTCGAGCCCCTCTCCCTCCTGCCTGGGGGTGGGAAGGGCTCCTGGCTGGACTGGTCTCCGGCCATGGTGGTAGTAGGGCTGCGGGGGGTCAAGCTGAGATGCAGAGAGATCAGCTGCCGCCTTTCTCTCAGAGCCCCTGGTCTGTTGGGCACTAGGTGGCGCTCCTGAGACAGGGTGGGATCCGTCGGCACAGACCAGGCTCCGGCCCCAGCCCGGGGACGGTAGCTGGGCCGTCCTTGTCGGCTCAGACATGTCCCCTGCCCGGCTGCTTTTTCGGCAGGTGCGAGAATCTGGTGGACATTTATTTCCAGCTGCAGCAGCAGGTGGTGGCGGTCGGCGGGGAGCTGGGCTCCGACCTACTCTCCCGGCTCCTGGAGCGGCTCAACACGGTGCTGAGTGCCCTGGTTGAAAGGTACTGCGGGGCAGGGGGGGCAGTAGCATGCCAGGGGGGCTGGACTTGATGACTTCCCCTGCTATAAGCACTAGACCCCACTCCTCTCCCAGAGCCAGGGATAGAACCCAGGAGTCCTGGCTGCCAGCCCCCTGCTCTAACCACGAGACCCCAGTCCTCTCCCAGAGCCAGGGATAGAACCCAGGCGTCCTGGGTCCCAGCTCCCTGCGCTAACCATCCAGTCTTGTTGCCTCCCCTGCCAGAAGGGCGAACGTGGCCCCAGCCCCATGCTCTAATCTGGCTCAGGTGGGACGGGGGGCTCGGAGCAGAACAGGGTGGGTTTGGGAGGTTGGGACAGTTCGGACCAGGGCAGGGTTAACATCTCAGCCTTGTGGGGACCCTGCTCCTGGGCCAGGACACCGGGAGCTTCAGTCTATCAGCTCCTGCGTCCGCACCGGCGTCAGTGGCTACTTCTGGCCAAGCTATGGGCAGCCGTTGACCCCCTTTCTGCCCCCACCCCAGCTCCTTCCTGGTGGAGAAGCAGCCCCCACAGGTGCTTAAGACCCAGACCAAGTTCCAGGCCAGTGTACGTTTCCTGCTGGGCCCCCGGCTGCTCCAGCCCTCGGCGAAGCCCTTCGTGGTCAAAGCCGACATGGTGACAGAGAAGCAGGCCCGGGAGCTGGCCCTCGGCGGCTATGGCAACCCGCTCAGGTGAGCTGATCCTGCCTGGGTGGCAGGAGAGGGGAAAAACTCCTTCTCCCCGCCCCCCTCCCCCACTGTACGACCTGCCCCACCTTCCGGGGGCCATTAACCCCTCGCTGACCGCCCTCCCTCTCCCTGCTCCAGTGAAAACACGGGGGAGATCGTGCACAATACGGTCGCCCTGGAGATCAACTCCACCAGCGCCACGTCCTGCGCCACCTTCAAGAACATGGTGAGTCCGGCGGGGGTACCCCCCGCCCCTCCCCCATGGCGACAAGCCGGTGCTTGGGCCCCAGAGTCAACCAGGGCAGTTTGGGGGAAGGGAGAAGTAGCAGGGGGCTGTGGATTGGGACTGAGGGGCGTCAGCCAAGCTGAGATGGGGGGAGCCCAGGGCTGGGCTTGTGGAGGCTGCGGGTCGGGAGTGAGGGGCACTGGCAGAGCTGGGCGGGAGTCCAGGGCTGGGCTGGGCTGGGCTAGGGGGGGCTGTGGGTCAGGAGTGAGGGGCATAGTAGGGGGGAGCCCAGGGCTGGGTTGGCAGGGGCTGTGGGTCGGGAGTGAGGGGCACCGGCAGAGCTGGGTGCCAGGAGCTCTGGTAACGCCAAGGGAAGGAGTTTGCGCCCCTTGCTGGGGGGACCCTGTCGCTGCAGGCCCTGGGGTGACTCTCTCTCTGTCCTGGCAGCTGCTGAAGAAGATCAAGCGCTGCGAACGCAAGGGCTCCGAGTCGGTAACGGAGGAGAAATGCGCCGCGCTCTTCAGCACCGATGTCACCTTGGGTCCCGGCAACCTGGCCTTCCACCTGCAGGTACCGGGCTGGTGTGCCGGGGGAGGGTGGCTCCTGGCTCCCTGTCCTGCCCCTGGACCCTGGCGGCGGGGGTGGGGGAGGGAGCAGAGCTGGGGGGTCCCCACCAGGACGCCTGGGTCCATTTGCATTGTGGGCCGGGAGTCGGGTCTGTTCCTCCGAGGCTGCTGGACACAGACCGACCCCGGGCTCTCGCCCCCAGCCGGCGTTGCCCAGTCTCACCACTGGGGGGTGCCGCTGAGCCCTACGGACCCCACCTGGGGCCTGTGCCTACCCCGGTGCTGGTTTGTGCTCCTGCTGGGCCGTCACCCAGCCTGATGCCATGGCTGGGGTGGGCATGGGGGTCCCATCCCGCCCCCCCAGTGACGGGCCAGCGCTCCGTGCTCCCCCCTCCAGGCCCTGTCTCTGCCGATTGTGGTCATTGTGCACGGGAATCAAGACAACAATGCCAAGGCAACGGTCCTGTGGGACAACGCCTTCTCCGAGCTCGTGAGTGTGGGGAGCGGGGGGGCGTGGCGTCGGGGCTGCTTCAGCTGACTGTTGCCACAGCTGGGAGATGGGATGCTAGTGATTAGAGCAGTGGGGGCTGGGAGCTAGGACTCCTGGGTTCTTTACCCAGAACTGGGAAGGTAGTGGGCTCCGGTCGTTAGAGCAAAGGGGACAAGGAGTCAGGACTCTTGGGTTCTATCCCTAGCTTTGGGAGGGGAATCGCGTCTAGTGGTTAAAGCTGGGGGGCTGGGAACCAGGACTTCTGGGTTCACTCACTGATCTTGGCTGGGCTGCTCCCCACTAATGAATGAACAAGGAGGAGAGTTTAACTCCGAACTCAGTGGCTGCCAAGCGCTCGCGGGGTCTGGGCCAGTTGGTGCCCAGACGTGGCCACCCCGAGAGCATGGAACCCCAGCGGCCCGCCTCCTGGTATGGCGGGGGGCCGGGGCTGGTGCCTGACCCTCCCTCCATGCCCTGGGGCAGGAGCGGGTCCCATTCGTGGTGGCCGAGCGGGTACCCTGGGAGAAGATGTGCGAGACCCTCAACCTGCGGTTCATGGCGGAGGTGCAGACCAACAAGGGACTGCTGCCGGAGCATTACTTCTTCCTGGCCCAGAAAATCTTCAACAACAGCAGCGCCAGCCCCGAGGACTTCCACAACCGCAGCGTCTCCTGGGCCCAGTTCAACAAGGTGAGGGGCGGGGGTGGGCCAGGGCAGGCGGAGGGGGGGCAGGCTCTGCCCTTGGGGACCCAGCCTCACTCCCTCTCTCCGGCTGCTCACAGGAGATCCTGCCTGGCCGGGGATTCACCTTCTGGCAGTGGTTTGACGGGGTCCTCGACCTCACCAAGAGGTGCCTCAAAAGCTACTGGTCGGACAGGTGGGTGCCTCGGGGTTGCCCCGGTAAAGACTGAATGGGAGGGGACGTAGCGGTTCACCTCAAGAGAGGCAGACCCAAGGTAGAAGCCAAGCGTCCTGGCTCCCAGCCCCCTGCTCTATTAAGCACCGCTGCCCTCCTGGGACTGGGGACAGAATCCAGCCATCCTGATTCCCAGCCCCCCTCCTCCCCCCCGCGTTAACCAAGAGACCCCACTCTCCTCCCAGAGCGAGGAATAGAACCCAGGCGTCCTGACTCCCAGCCCCTCCCCCCCACGCATTAACCAAGAGACCCCACTCTCCTCCCAGAGCGAGGAATAGAACCCAGGCGTCCTGACCCCCAGCCCCTCCTGTTTCCCTTGCCCAGTGAAATGGGAGGGGAGGGAGGCCAGAGAGGGCAGGTGGAGTTCAGCCGAGGTGACAGCTTGCTCTCTGGTCTGTCCATCCATCCATGTCGTTCCCCCCCGCCCCCAATTACCCCTCTCCCCCCCCCCAGGCTCATCGTCGGCTTCATCAGCAAGCAGTACGTCAGCAAGCTGCTGGGCCCGGAGCCCGACGGGACCTTCCTGCTGCGGTTCAGCGACTCGGAGATTGGCGGCATCACCATCGCCCACGTCATCCGCGGCAAGGACGGTAGGAGGGGGTGCCCCCTGCCCTGCCCCCCCGGCTCGGTGCTCGCTGGAGGTGGGGGGGGGCATGAAGGGAGCAGGAGAGCTGAGCCCCGGGACAGGGGTAAGGGGCAGGGCCCCAGCCTGTGCTGCCCCCGGAGCACTGGGGCCCCCCCGCCCACTCTGAGCCGCCGCGCTGTGCTCCCCCCCCCAGGCTCCAGCCAGGTGGAGAACATCCAGCCCTTCTCCGCCAAGGACCTCCACATCCGCTCCCTGGGCGACCGCATCCGAGACCTGGGCCAGCTCCGAAACCTCTATCCCAACCAGCCCAAGGACCAGGTGTTTGGGAGCCACTACAACAGTGAGTGTCCAGGGGCCGCCCCGGTGCCCTGGGGCACCCCCGGGCACCTCCAGGGCCTTATCCGGACTCCTGGACCCCCTGCTGCTGTGGGGTCACCCCCTGCAACTGCAGCTGGGCCTATGGGATGGGTGACTGCAAAGCCATATCTGCCCCCGTCCCTTGTAGGCCCCCGAAAGGGGCAAGATCAAATCCAGGCCTGGGCAACATGCCCCGGCGGGGGCGATGGGGGCATTGCCACAGCGGATCGGCCCTGGGTTGGCATCCCGCCGGCAGGATCGGTGCAGCAGTGCCGGGCCCGGCCCCAGAACATAAAGCCCACAAGCGATTGGGTGGGCCGAGGAGGTCACATGGCCCTCCCCACCCAAAGCTGAAGTCGCAGAGTGTGTCGACCGCCCCCCCGCCCCGCCCCGCTTCCCTGGGTTTGGCTCCCAGGAGTTTTACTTGCTGTTTCCTCCTGTAGAGGAGCAGATGGGGAAGGATGGCCGAGGCTATGTCTCCACTGCCATCAAGATGACGGTGGAAAGTGAAAGGTAGGTTGGGGAGGGCTGTGGGGTGGGGGGCTGAGGGCAGCCTTGCCCCAGGCTGTGTGCCGCAGCTGTTCCCGGGGGCCCGGGGCCGGCCGCCCGTCAGCTGTTCCCGGGGGCCCGGGGCCGGCCGCTGGTGGGAGACGCTGCGGGGAGGGTGGAGAGGAGCCAGTGGCTGGGGTGGGGGGGGGGCCTTGGGGGAGAGGGCAGGAAGAGGCGGAGTGAGGGTGGGGCCTTGGGGGAAGGGGCGGAGTGGGGGCAGAGCCAGGGTGGAGCATGTACCAAAGTCTCTGCCTGTGCCCCCCGAGGCCCTGACAGCCCCTCTCGCTGCCCGTCTCTCTGCCCCCCCCGTCGTGCCACTCCCATGAACGGTGGTGATGTGTCTCCACAGGGATCAGAAGCTGGCCCCCCAGGAGTCTCCCCAAGCTGTCCCACCCCCCGCCCCTACGAACATATACAGCTTGCCGGGGCAACCGCCCGAGCAGCCCATGGACCACCTGCACCTGCCTGACATGCGGTAAGATCCCAGCGCCCACCCTGCTGCTTTCAGTAAGTGCCCGGTCGCTATGTCAGCCCCAGGAGCAGGGGCCAGCAGGTCGGGCTGCCGTTTCATGCCCACGGGTTGGATGAAGCCAGCCAAGCTTGTGCCAAGAGGGGACCCAAGCCAGGTGTTAACCCCAGATGGCCACGGGCGAGAGACCAGCGCCCTGCGGCATCCAGCCCCAGAGGCTGTGGTTCAGCCTGTGCCCCCTGCTGCTGTGTTGCTCCCTGGGGCAATTAGAGCAGCCCCAGGGCTGCTCTAACTTAGGCTCTTTGACCTAGGCATGTGGAGAATAACCATAATGCTGTGTGCTCCAGCCATGCCCCCTACGCTGGGGGGTTGTTGCCGGAGTGGCCTGGGGGGGGGGGGTGGGCCCTGAGACTCTGACCCAGTGCTAAGGCCGTGTGCATCTGTGTTTGCTGCCAGCTCTTCTGCGTTCCCTGCCCAGATGGTCCTGCCCCAGTTCCACGCCCCCGAGGAGGCCAGCATGAGCATGGGCATCCCCAGTGCCTCTCCTTTCCACAGGTAGGTGCCGTGCCGCCCACACCAGGCTCTGGGGTGCAGTGGGCCGCTCCGCACGCAGCGGGCAGGGCTGCTCAGGGGAGGGGGGGGCCGGTGCCGATTTGAGCTGCGTAGGGCATGGGCGGCAGATGCCGGCGGGACCAGGCAAGGCCGGCATAGCTCTGTGTCTTCCTGTAGGGACAACAGAGTCCGTGTGCAATGTACGAGAGAAACCAGGGCCAATGCACCTGCTCCGTCAGCTTCTCCAGGCCGGCCTGATGCTCCTCCATCCACTCAAGCCTCTTAGAGGGGAAAAACCCCAAATCCTAGTTCCCTGCCCTGCCCTCAGCCAGCCAGACCCAGCCCTGGGGTTATCGAAGGCCCCATGCCCCATTCCCTGCCCCCGAGCCAGACAGTCCCCCACCCTGGTGGTGCTGGACGGGAGCTGGTGCCCCTGTTGGGAAAGGCCCCAGGCCACATTTCCCCCTGCCCCGAGCCAGCCAATCCCTGCCCTGGGGCCAGATGGGAGCTGATGCCCCCTCGAGGGGAAAGGCCCCGTGCCCCGTTCCCCACCCCGAGCCAGCCAGTACAGCTTGCAGCGAGGGAGGGCTTGACCCCCCGGGCAGGGTTTCACTCTAGGACCTTTCAGGGGCATTTGCTGAGGGGGCAGTGGTGTCGCCCGGTCCCCAGAGAGCAAGGGGTTAATCTTGCCTTACCCGCCTCCCGCACCCCTTTACAAACTCCCCGTTTTTGTCCTTGCCGCAGCCCCCCGACGCTCCTCCCAGCGCCCGTGAGCACCCCGGCCACCGCGCTGCCCCTCGGCCCCAACGTCGCCTTCAGCTGCCAGCCTCTGTCGCCGTAAGACAACCGGCCCCCGCCTCTGCCAGCCCCCTGCTGGTAGAGCCCCCTAGACCAGCCCTGCCCCAGAGTCCCCCCGCCCTGGGGCCACCAGGGAGCTGGCGCCCCCTAGAGGCAAAAGGCCCGTCCCACTCCCCACCTCCCTGAGCCATCCAATCCCTGCCCCGGGGCCAGATCGGAGCCAGCGCCCCCTACAGGTGAAAGGCCCTGGGTCCCCTTCCCCACTGGCACCCCCTAGAGGGGAAAGGCCCTGTGTCCCGTTCTCTCCCACCCAGCCCCGAGCCTGCAAGTCTGGGGCTAGCGTGGGAACTGAGGCCCACATCTCCCCCGGCTCCCTCTCACCGGCTGCTCCGTGCCCCGCAGGGATTTGCTGCCCTACGGGTACTTGCCAGGGGACCTCATCCTGGACGACCTGTCTCCCGACCCCATGGACGAGGAGATGCCGGAAATCACCCCCTTCTCGCCCGCTCGCCATATCTCGCCCTTCAGGCCCCTCCTGCCGGCCCCTCCCCAGCTGTTGGCGACGAGGTAAGTGCCCCCGAAGGCGCGGGGAGGGTGGGACAGGGGGCTGGGCCGTGGCTGCCTTCCCAACGCACCTCCTGTTCTCTTCCTGGCCAGTTTGGGCAACAACGTGGACTTGCCCTCGGAAGATGAGATCACCCAGCTCTTGTACGAGGCCCAGATGGAGGAGGGGCTCCAGCCCCCCAGCTACAGCGACCCCATGGCCAACCCCAGCTGGTGACCTCGCTGCAGGGGTGCCCCCTGCTGGACACTTTGGAGAATGGCGCCCATCCAGGAGAGACGTGCAAAGGGGCTGGGGTGGTCTCAGCTGGGACTCTCGGGGCCTGGCCCAGACGGACTGGAGTCTGGGGCTGAGCTGCGCTTGGGGGCTTTGCTAGGTGTGGGGGAGCAGTGTGGCACTTGGGAGCCATCACTGCCCCCCCCCCATCACTGCCTTGTGTTAACCATGTACAAACGCCGCACCATGGAACACGCTGAACCCCCCGCAACCCCGTCCTGGGGCTGGCAACCACAGCAGCAGGGGCAGCCCCCCTTTTCCCCACCCCCAGCTGGGCAGCTGTGGAGTGGGGAAGGACACACACTGGAAGAGGGGCTCTGGGAGGCCTGGATTTCAGCCTGGGAGGGGGCCATGTTGTGGGGGTGCTGATTCCCCCCACGGAGGGGGAGGGGCAAGGGGTGCCCAGTGGCAGGGGGTGAGGTCTGGCTGGCTGTGTGCCCCCCCCCCGCCCCATCTCTGCAGCCTATGGAAGGCCATGGGCATGAGCAGCTGGGGTGAGCAGCCGGGGCTGGGGGGAGCAGCCAGACCTCCCTTCCCCCAGTGAGGTCTGACTCCCTCTGGGCCTGGGTAGCACCCTTAGGGATCAACACCCCCCCCCCCAGCTTGCCCCTTGCTTTGGACCCCACATGAGGGGCCCCCTGTGGCTGGTCGCCTGTGATCAGAGAGGACCCCAGCGGTGCAATGGGCCAGGCAGAGCGGGGAGAGACACGCAGCAGACGCCCCCTACCCTCTTCTCCAGAGCTGGGGGGGCAGAACCAGGGCCCTGCTGGAGGAGCAGGGGTGGGCAGGGGAAAGGCTCAGCGGGGGCTGGGCGCTGGTTTAAAGGGCCTGTACCTCACTGCTATCCTTCCCTGCCCACCCCCCCGCTGGGGGCCTGACCCTCCTCCCTCTCAATTCACAGGCCCTGCCCAGGGTCCGGCCTAAAGGCCCCAGCCTGGCTGACGATAGAGCTGGATGTTGGCCTGCCCCACGTGCCCCAAGAGGGATGCTACTAAATGCTATAGAAAGAGATTCTGCCTCAGTTTCCCCACCACCACCCACAGGCCCCTGCTAGCCCTGCCCTGAGCTCCCCCCACCCCTAGCTCTGCTGGTGCCCCTCACTCCTGACCCGCAGCCCCCTGCTAGCCCAGCTCTGGGCTCCCCACCCCCCCAGCTCGGCCAGTGCCCCTCACTCCTGACCCGCAGCCCCCTGCTAGCCCAGCCCTGCCCCCCACCTTTGCTGCTGCCCCTCTTCTATTGCACCCTGTGCTCTGCCGCCCACCCCCCCACCACCTCGCAGTTGGGGAGCGGGGAGGAGATTAAGCCATAAAATAAAGTTTTATTCCAAAATAACAAAATAAATAATCTACTGTACACGTTGCAAAGGAAAAGTCACTAATGCTCTAAGCCCTCGGCCTACGGGAGCGTGAACGGGTCTCAAACCAGCGCTGCTAGGAACTGGGAGGGGTGCGTCACCAGCAGGGGCTCCAAAGTGCAGCCTGCCCCCCTCCAGCGAGTCACAGGGAGGGGAACAGCCTCCTGTGGAATATGCGGGGGGCAGTGACACTGGTTCTGAGGGGACCCCCCCCATCATTCCCTGGTGCTCCCTGCTCTATAGCTGGGCCGTTGTGCCAGCCAGGTGGCTTTTTAATCTGTTCTGCCACCCCTGTGATGGTGACATGGGGGGGGGGGGGTACCCTGATTGTCCCTTTAAATCCCCCCCCTTCCCAATGCCCTCCATGCTGGGGGCTGGGGCAGGGTTCCTGGTTGGGGGGGTGGAATTGTCTACCCTGTGCTGTGTGCAAACAGCCAGCACCGGAGTCCCTGGGCTGGGGATACAGCTGATGCTGGGTGTGTTATGTGGGGGGGGGTTGGTGCTGGTGTGCAAAAGACAGCACATTCCCCCCTCCCCAGCCCAGCGGGAGTGGTCGTCTGGGCGAGGCAGGAGCAGGGACGGGGTTAGATGGGGGGGGGGGGGGGTCTTGCAGCCTGGGACGATCGCCTCTGTTCAGACACCACTGGGCCAGTGAATTTGGGGTGGGAGATGCGGAGTGGTGGGGCAGTGGTGGAAGGGGAAATTTTTTTGGGGAGGTAGGGTGCCCTTAGGACTGGAAGGTAAGGCCTGGCTTAGCCTCCCTGCCTGCAGCCCCAGCCCATCACCCACAGCCCCGGCAGGTTGGTTCCCCTCCATTGCTCCTGGGGGAGGCTGGGCCAGACCCTCGGAACTCAGAAACCTCCTCCTAGCCCCCCAGGCCCCTTCAGCCCCCCTTGGCCTTGTGCTTTGCCTGCAACAGCCTCTTCCCTCTTCCTGGGGTCCCCCCCAGCTCCTTTCTTCTCCCTGCCTCTTGGGGGGGTGTGTGTAGGTCACCCCCCCCCCCTTAAAACATCCAGGAACTGAAGAGTTACAGTTCACATCACCCCCGTGGTGGGGGAAAGGGGAGCTGGCTAGGGGGGAAACCCAGGGCTAAAGCAGCCAGCTGTGAGGGCAGGGGGCGGCTTTGGAGGGGGCAGCTGCAGGGGGCTGGAGCTCCAGGCTGGCTGGTGGCAGTCGGAACGTGACCAGCTGGTTACATTAACCGCACTGCGCCCTCCCTGCGGGCACGGGCGGGCACAGACCTTCCCTTCTCCCTGGGCACGGAGATATTGCTGTAGTGGCCAGCTGTGGCCAGCCTCCCGGTGCCCACGGGCATTGGGCCCCCAGGCCTGGCTCTCTGGGGGGCAGACGGGGAGGGGATGCTCCGGCTCCAGGAGAGATCACGGTGCGGGGGCCCCACCACCCGTTCTCCCCTGCCCCAGTCCTGTGGTTATTGCTTGGTTAGTGGAGGGGGGGAGCCGCTGTGGGCCCCACACCCCAACCAGGGGGGCTTCCGCAGCTCACTGCCGGCTGGTCTCCGGCTCCACCTTGATGCTGCTCCGGCGGGACTCGGCCTGGGCCGGGGGGCCCCCCTCCGCCAGCCCGTCCTCGAACTCTGCAGGGAGACAGGGCCAGGGTCAGCCTGAGGGCCCCGTCCCCTCGGGCAACTGCCCCCAGGATCGACCCCCCCTGGAGCAGCCTTCTCTGGAGGAAACACCCTCCCTCCACCCCCACAGGTTCCACTGGGGTTCCCAGGACGTCAGCCGCCCCCGCCCGCCCCCCCTCCCCGCCCCCGCTTCCTTCCTCTCCTGTCTGGGCGGGCGGGCGGGCGGTGGGGGGTGGAATTTCCACAATTGTTTCTTTTTTCCATTCAGTAACGGGTGAGACGAAGAGCAAACAACAGAGCTGGGCCCGGGCCCCCCAGCTCCACCGGTGCCCCCCACTCCTGACCCGCAGCCCCTGCTAGCCCAGCCCTGGGCTCCCCACTTCTGAGCCCCAAGCACACCTGGTCTCTCCAGGGCCGCATAGTCCTGAGCTGGGTGGGTATAAACCCTGGGCGGGGCTGACCCTCTTCCCCCCACCCCCAGCCTTGCACCACCCCAAGGAGCCTTCCCCACCCCCGCTATCCCACCTCTGACCTCCTGGGCGCAGACCCCTATGACCCTCTTTCACCCCTCCCGGGAGCGGGGCTGGTGGGGGCAGCTCACCTGGGCCTGGGGCCTTGCCCGGCAGACAGGGGCTGAGGTGCCCGACCCGCTCATGGGACACTAGCCGGGCCAGGCGCAGCCCCTCGTCCATCAGCGTCTGCTGCAGGATGTGACGGCTCCAGAGCCCGTGGGGGGGAAGGCTGAGGGGCAGGTCGGGGGCGGCACTGGGGGGCGGCGTGAGGCGGGGGCAGGATCCCGCGGCTGCAGAGAGAGAGAGAGAGAGAGAGAGAGAAACACGTGTCAGTGGGGGGCTGGGTCAGGGGGCCCCATGGCAGGGGAGGAGTCAGATAGGTGCCAGGGGGTGCAGTTTCTGCCTCCCCATAGTAGCTATGGGGGGATAGATGCATGGGCACCCTGCCCCCCACACCCCATAACGCAAGGGCTGTCTGCGTCCTGCCCTGGGTCTGGGCGAGTGCCCTTGCCTGGGGAAGGTCTCTGTGGGGCTGACGGGGTTAATCAGTACAAAGCCCCCACCCCCCAGCCACACTCCCCACTCACCCTGCAGATGCCCATCCAGGCTCTCTCCCGACAGGCTGGCCGCGTCCTCCTCCAGGCTGGCTCGGTACGGGGGGGCGTAGGACTCCGACCCCCCTGGCAGCTGCAGGAGCTCGGGGCGGCTCTGCTCACCCACCTGCGGGGCGAGGGGGCGGTTAGAGAGGCGGGTGCTGGGGGGGGGGTCCGAGCTCACGCAGCGCCGCCGGGTCTGCAGGCCCAGGGAGCCGGGATGGGGGGGAGCCGGCCCCAGCCCACGTGGGCACGGGGCCCAGGCCACGCTGTCCTGAGGGCAATGCATCGAGACGGCTTGGGGCCCCGGCTGGGCCTGGGGCAGGATGGCACCGTGGGCTGGGAATCCCCCAGCAGGCAGCTCAGAGCCTGGGGCAGACCCTGGCGAAGAAGGGTGACACCCACCTCCCCAGTGCCAGCTCCTCTCCCTCGCCCGCTGCTCCTGCGCCCCCAAAGCCAGCTGTCGTCCCCCGTGCCTGGCGCTCAGCCGCACGTAGCCCAGCGGCACCCCCGGGACACAGGCACGGGCGTCCACCCGCCCAGCACCCACCTCCTGCTTCAGCTTCTTGGGCTGCGCGGCTCCACTCTCGTCCGGATGCGACCTGCACGGAAGTAGCAGGACAAACAGCGTCAGGGGCCGGGCGGCGCCGCCGGGAGCCCCCCTGGGGCAGGTGGGCTCAGACCCCAGCTCGAGGGGCAGGCAGAGACCCCGCAGCCCGGGGCTGGGGGGTACCGGAGCCGACGGGCCACAGCGCTGTTCCAATGCCGGGATTCCTCTGGTTCGGCCACCCATCGCTCCCTAGGGGGCGGGAGGGAGGGACCAGCCCCGGGGCCGGAGCCGGCTCATCCAGGGCGAGGCGGGGGTTGCAACCCAGCACCCATGGCCTCTCCTGGGCACCTCTCAGCCCCATCCCAGGGGCGCCTCTGATGTTGCTCTCCCCGGGACGCGGTGGCTCAGATGGAAAATGACCAAAGCGAAAGAGGAACTCGGGGGCCGGGCTGCAGGGCAGGTGGGCGGCTGGCTCGGGGGGCGGGGAGGAAGAGGAGGCTGAGGAAGGCGGCTTCCAATGCCCCCTCTCCCCCCAAGAGGGAGCGGGCAGGGCAGCTCCGCTGGGCACTGGGGGCAGGAGTCTGCAGCAGCCTACCCGCAGCCTGGTGTCCCCTGTGCCCAGCTCCTTGCCCCACTGCCCTCCCCCGGGCCCCACCCCACTCCTCTGCACCCCACTACCCTCCCTGTTGCCCCCACCCCACGCTCTGCTCCCCCCCCGCCTGGCCCAGGGGCCCCACGGGAGGGGCCCAGCTCACCTGGCTCCCTTGAGCGAGGACAGGTAGGTGCTTTCCCGGGCCACCTGGCGCGACAGAGAGAACAGCTCCACCCGGCGCAGCAGCAGCGTGTGGTCACGCAGGCAGAACTGAGCCGCTGCCTCGTTGATGGTCAGCTGGGGGGCCCGAGAGGGAGGCCGTTAGCGTGGGAGCCAAGACACGGGCCCCGGGAGGGGGCCCCAGGAGCCTCGACACCACGGGGAGGGGCAGAGAGACAGGAACGGGGCAGAGACGGGCCAAAGGCAAGATAAAAGGATCCAGGGATGGATACATAGAGGGAGGGCCGGCAAGACGCCAGGAATAGAACCCAGGCGTCCTGGCTGCCAGCCCCCGCTGCTCTCACCACCGTCCACGGACTGTTGCAGTCGGATACAGGATTCCCCTTCCCGAGCCATCCCACCCCAGAGGTGGCTGCATTCGGGGGGGCGGGGAGGGTCTGGGCAAGGGCTCCCCTGTGGCCCCCATTGCTGCCAAGCCCCCCTCCCCAGTGGTGTGCGCTGCCCGCGGCCATTGCCCCGCCCCCGCGGCTCACCTCATGCAGCGTGAGCGGCTTGCCGTCGCGGCGCCGGGCCTCGCCCCGCCCGTAGATGGCGCTGTGCCGCCGGATCTCCTCCTCCTTGCGCCGGTCCCCGTCGCCCAGCTGGAAGATGTGCCCGACCGCCTTGGCCAGCTTCTTGTTGAGCTTCAGGAGGGCACGCAGCTCGGGCTCGCCCCCCCGCGGACAGCTCTGCAGCAGCCGCTCCACGCTCTCCGCCACCGTCCGCGCCAGCTCCGGGTCCAGCTGCTCCGGGGCCGCCTCCCCCCCTGCCCCCGGCGAGAAGGGGGGCGGCCCCCCGTCCTCCTCCGCACCGCCCCCCTCCGACTCCGGGGTGCTCCGGCCCGGCCACTGCGGGGCGGGCAGGGGGGAGAGCTTCTCCCCCGGCTCCGAGGGGCTGCGGGCGGGCGGCGTGGCCAGCCCGCTGCCCCCCTTGCCCGCGGCCTCGCCG